CACAACCACTGCAACATCTGGGATCTTTAAAAATTCTCTCATATCAAGGATCCCCTTCACACTACCAAAAACTCTAATTACACGTTAGAAACTGCTTTTCTCATGTCTATAGCTTTGATATATCATATATGGTTAACGCTGAGATATGTTCGTTCTCCATGTGTGATGTTTTTAATTGGATGGTGTTACGCTTTGTCTAGTGCAACGTGTGTGATTTATACAGTTTACCTGTTGTTTACAGTTAAAATGATACATATTTTTTTTTTAAATGTTTTACTGCGCGTAAGGGTTACGACAACCCAGATTCGAATGCTGATTATGACATCGAGAGGTAATCTTGATAGACGTGGATCGGTATCTACTACATGATACAAAACAACATGATCAAACTTTCAAATGGAACAGTTACAAAAACAGCTGATTTTGAATGGTATTGAACAACACTGTTGAACAATAGAAATTGATTATCTGGTAATTTCACGGTTCGTTACACATTGACAGTTATGTGACGTTAGATTGATCTATGACAACAGCGGGAACTATATCATAAACTCACCGTGAAAATATAACTATTTCGAATGATGATTTTTAACCTGAATAATGAAAACGTTATGAATCCAGCGACATCGCTCTACAATTAAACAGAGAGGAACCATGTGTCCCGTCTGCGTTATTTGAACGTGGTCAGAATAGTACATGCGCACGCAATATCGTCATCCGTAATTTCGATTTATTCTTGAGCGCCGATTGACACGCATGTATACTTCCGACACAATAACGAGTTCCTATTCAAATCCCATCCGCCAAAACAGAATTGTGCATTCAAACTTCAATGGTCCTTTATTTTGACGAACAATGAATTCATATTAACGTCTATGGCTGGTAACGATATTAAGTCTAATAAAACTGCAAACAATAGTTTAATACTAGGATAATACAATGCACGTTTTAAGCACCGCCGACAATCTAAACGGTACTCGGTACGCTGATGTCGATTTTACCATTATCCTGAAATCCAGCGTAAAATGAATACCTTTTGTAATAACGTTCTATACAAGATGTATTGAATTAAATAATGATAATGACAGGAAAATCAAACATTATCTACACATGGACGGAGGAACGGTCGCTCCTGAATAACACGCGTAAATTATGTACAGTTCGTCATACAGCTAAAGGCATGTAAGAGAGAACACAAGATCAAAATAAAGCGAAAATAAAGCGAACAGCAGAATTCACACGAAGACGTTGATTGGTTTCCTCAAGGAGGTCATTTTAAATACTGAGTAATTTCAATGAAATATCCTAACCTGGACACGGTAGCGTGATACCACACCAGGCCACGTGATACTGACCACAAGATGACCACAAGATGACCAGTCCTTACCGACACCCATCCAAAGCTAAATTAACTTCAACAAAGTGCTGGTTTGTCTACTCGTGGTCTGGGGCCGGAATCCAGGCATTTCTTCGCTTTGGCGAACGGTCAACACCAAAGTCAAAAGCGAGGTAAAAGCAGGTAGTCAGAGAAAAAGAGCGAGAAAAATCTCCAATATTGCAATGGGTGCATGCAGCACTTATTTTTGCCGCTTTCGTGTTATCAAATAGAAGTTGCAAAAGAAAATCCCTTATTCCACTGGGCTTTTGTTTATTACCTTACCGTGCTCAGTGACCTCTCGTTCGTAGGCTTGTCGGTCTGTTTGAAGCGTGACGTCACTTGGAACCACTTGATACGTGACGTCATTAACATATAATGACAACACATTCATCCACCTTTCGCTGGATTGGCTCTTGTGTATTGCCTGCTAAATATTTCTCTTTCACTCTTTAATGAATTTATTTCTCTGTCACGTCTAGTGTATGATTTCTCTGTCATTCTCGAAGGTTTGACAGATGATAAGCGGAAAGAAACAGTTGAACTAAATTATGACATCACAACCAGCTTTCGACGGGAGGGATAGATTGATAATCAGGATAAAAAACATGTATTATAAGTTCTGATAAAAACGTTTTTCAAATATCGAATATTGTATCATTTATAGGATGGGAGATATAGAATCATCCCTTTCGTATCCCCATATTACTGCATGAACTGTAACTTTGTATTGTAAACTGTTTTATTATGATAAATCATTAGCGAAATGAAAACTATACCTTGCGGGACTTTTATGATTTAAAAAAACCAACATGAAATCAAAAAAGTGTTCTGATTTTGAAAATTCGGGAGGGCCAGAGCAGGATTCGTACCCTGGACCTAGAATTTTAATAATTTCCCTCAAAACAACTGAGTTACCAGGCGAACGGAAGTGCTCTGGCACAATTGCGCTACAATCGGAAACTGTCAGCACTTTCCGTAAACAAGAAAATACTCGGTTCCCGATTGAAGTGCGTGCAGTGGTACTGGACTCCTTAAGTTAATGGTACGCTGAATAAATTTCAACCCTCAGGGTGATATTCTGGAATGTATCATCCGGTGAGTTTCATCACATACCGTAGTTTATCACCCGCTCCGTTACATATCCCCACAAACCTCAAACAAATCATTTATATTTTTATGAATTCACTCACATTGCATAAATAATAACGATTAAGTTACCTTAGCAAAATATACGTGGAAATTTGGTGTTTTGATTAAAACATCTAAAGGACTTACCAATGTTATCTTGAACCAATATCGTGTCTGGAGCAGTCATCTGGTCTTCTGAAACGGAACTTGCTCGGTCTACAACCTATCTGTATTATATATACTATATATATATGTCGGTTACGCCAGTCACAACTGCACATCATATCAGGTGAAAGAAGGATTTTTTTCTTAGAAATGTCACCAACGGTAGGTGTATTATCAGCTGATCACACTTTCTGAGGCATTGATTCGTCAAAATTCCATACCATTATCCGAGTTTTTACACATTCCATTTCAGAAGTGTTGATTCGCAAACATACTTCCGAGTTGTGTCACAACTTTCTCGGTGTTTGTGACAGACAATTTTAGAAATGTTGATCGTCACGATACTTCCTACCTGTGCAAAAATGTTTAAGACTACACCTTATGAAGTGTTGATTCGTCAGGATGCTTACGAGATGTGTCACAAACGTCCAATAGTGTTGATTCGTCAACATTTTTTTTACGTTTCGACAAAGTATGCCCTCTGTGACCCTTTGTGAAGGTAATTGATTGATTTGTGAGCGAAAGAATATAACAATTGTTTATTCGATCTAACTTCCAATGTATCGTTAAAACAAGCCATTGATAGAAATATCTACACAGAAAGGGAAACAATCGTATTTACCTAGCACAGAATCGGCTTTTACAATATCTGAATTGGTCATATAAGCATATGAGTGGGGAAACAAAATGGAATAAAGCATGTTTTATAAAAAGAACAAATACCCAATTTAATTACTGTAACAAAGCGATGAACGGTGTTTTATGAGGCCCTGTAGCTAACAATGGATCAGCTCTCTCCACATCCGTTTAATGACTGTTCCGGGAATTTTTCATCTTTTGTTTTGTCATCGGTTACTGAGTTTAAAAGTTGATCGGAGACTTGGGTATAAGTCTGGCTTTTCATACTGAGATATGAAGCGACACTTGATTGTGGACAGGTATTGAGGGATCGCGCCCGAAAGCCTTTGAGCGGGCGTTTTTATGGACGGTATTGTACATATTGTATAGGCTTCTTGTCAGCTCTGCTGCCATGCATAAACCCAGCATTGTGTCTGTGATGAAAAGTCCGCAACAACAACACAAAAGATATCGACAAAAATGGTCATAATTACTTCCACTATCAAACGAAGAGTAGAGAATACTGTAATCAATCATATTACCGGCAGAAAATCCTGTTTCTAGACGTGCACGGCTGTACCGCTACTATCAGATATTTGGGATTCAAATTGTCATGGCTGTCACAATATATCGGAGAACCGGTATATCGCAATACACAAGCATATCGTATCGTTTCGCGATTCTGAAATTAAATATCGCTGTATCGCAATATCTTTTTCAAGAGCTTATTTTAATGTATCTGATTGGTGTTTTTACTTTGCAAATTACTTCACATTCTAACAGATATACCAATAAATTTAACAGGCTATCACTATTGGCAGGTATCTGTCGAAATTTCATATTCGAAGGTTTGTTTAATGAAAACCTTAAGCCCGTTTAATCTACATGATATATCAGTTTAAAAATATTCTGGCAACAATTTCTATTAAAATTGGACACCTTTTCTCTTTGACGATATATGTCTTGATTCGTGTATCGCAATGCATTCCTTCTGTATCGCAATATATTGTGATACACCCCAGGCATAATGGGACACCTCTAGTACTGATCTATTGAAGCTTCATCAAAATCATCCTGTATGAACGTTATTTGGAAATTGATCGTATCGGTTTATTTGTTTGTAAATGAACATTAAATAAGTTTAAACGTATGTGTATGTAGAAATAAAGTCACATTCCAAATTCAACGGGGTTCAAATAAGATATAGCTGAGAATACTAGAAGTTATTTAAAATTGAAAAGGTTTAGACAAATTCAAAACACATTATCTGTAAAAGATTTTAGGGGCATTCACTACAGTAAGTTTTAACTTTATAGTGTTTCAGCGTGAATTCCTGAAGTTAAGTGTGGTGGTGACAATGATTGCATTTTTTTTTTTAATTTTAGAAACGTCAACATTATCACAAATTAATGAAAAATAATTCCCAGTGGTTGTTCTATTTTTACAATTGTTTTTATTCGTCTTGTAAAAAATCAAAAGTTGAAATTTCAAACATGTTACACAGACACTGGTCAAATTGGCAGACCTTTACGAGGACATTAAGGCTGCTATGGGAATCGGAACATTTGAGTCTAATGAAAAGGAACTTTATGTCCTGTATCAGAAAAACAATCTCTAAAGATACGACAAGAAACGCGCATGCTAGAAATTAGAATTGAATAACGGAAAGGTCGTCATATCTCTGAATGCACATTTTTGATGACGTCATAATCACCGGAAGTACTATTGTGCATTACGTCACTTGGCATCGAGTAGCTTGAAAAACTTGACGACAGGTCAACAATGTAAATATTTTGCCTGAAAGATGAAGTGTCAAAACGCTCCATGAGGATTCATGTTTACTTTATCAGTGGAACAATTGCTGTAGTCGTTGTCTCCCTTGGGACGATGTCCTTCATACGGAAGATCCTTCGACGGCATTCGAACCGAGTAACCAATGGAGAAAGGAGTGTTGAAGAACTGAGTGCCGAATCACTTACTCGGAATGAATCAGTTGATACGGTTTCCACAGAGGCAGCGAGGACGGAGTCTGCGCACACTGTTTCTACCCAAGACGAATCTTGTCATGATACGTCATCAGAAATCACACATCGGAATGACGATTGCAGACGCAAAAGACGAAAACTGGCTTCTCTTTTGAGAAGAAAGGGGTAAGTTTTATCTTTCAGTAGATTTCCTGTATTCAGTGCATTTAACAGACTTTTCCCCTTTCATTTAAGATAATATCGTTTAAAACATTCTAGTTGATTTGAAATTGTAGTAATTTTTAAATGTAAAATTTTAAAATAAAAATTGAAATGGAATTTTGTAGGGGAGATAAGCGTTTGAAGTGCTGAAACTCTCTTAGGTTCAGTGTCCAGGTGCATCATCCTCCTTGAAATGTGGGAGGGGGTGAAGAAAGAATGTAGTTTTTGAAGTAACAATAACTATTTGGACTTTACAGTATGTATCGCTTTAAAACAATGTACAATGTATTATCCTGTTCGTTGGATGTAAAACATGTTAATGTATTATAAATAAGATATTTTTAACTTGAACTATTTAGCTATTGTTTCGATTGGGTTAATCATGCTATTAACAGTTTAATCGATCCGAGTCATCAACCAGAAATCGACTGTTAAAGTCAATATAAACGAGTCTAACTATCATTTCATTTTTTTTCAGCAAGAAGGAGGTAAAGCTGGACCGTAGACAGGTCGAGATCCTCCAATTTGACGAAGAAATTAAGGAGGTCATGCGCATGCTCAAACACATAGAAGTAAAGGAAATTGCTCTGGACGAGGAAATTCATTTCAAGAAATTAGAGCTGATATCTGTGTTTCCTCTTGGTAAGAATCGCTGCTTCGTTTGTACTTCACCAGACCATCAACTATCAGAGTATTCGCTTACTATCGTAACAGGAAAGGAATTGCACGGCCAGACTGGGATTCGAGCCGGGGACCCCCCAAACTCTAGACAGACGCTCTATCATTTGAGCTTCTTGGTCAACGACGATCAACCCAGTCCACTTTCGCTACATTATACTCTCCTTTTTCTAAGTTTTCGCCCCAAAGTCATTCCTTTTTAACATCACATAGTCGGATATGCCCTTGCAAAGCATTTACCAAGTAATTGAAACCATGGTTGGTCAAAGACACAGATTGTGTAATAGAAGCGGGAAAATTCACGGCCAGACCGGGATTCGATCCCGGGACCCTTCGAACTCTAGACGGACACTCTACCAAGTTCACCGACGATCGACCCAGTCCAGTTCCGTTACACTATCAAATGACATTATATTCCAATCACACGAACAATTCAAAACCCAACATCGTAATACGACATTGTACGTCATTAAATAAAGAAAATGCGACACTTAAAGAAAGCTTTCGTCCTAAAATAAAGGATAAAAATTATCTGAGGCTGAAACGGTTATGTTAAGTTTATGTATTTCGTTGCGGGGAGAAGAAAGTGAAGTTTGTCAGAAATCATTTTATTTTCGAACTATGAAATCAATAGTTTCTTCATTACTAAATCATTTTTTCCCATCTAACCTCTTACGATCCTTCGTTAATTTAAGTTTGTATATATATGGTATATAACTTTTAAGGAATTTTAATAAGTTGCGCTCAATCCTTCTGTATAAACTTGCGTTAATATATATTTAAGTACATGTAACTTTATATAAGTTTTCGTAATTTGTTTCCGGGTCCTTTTTCATCTGTATTCAAATTGTGTTGTCACCCTGGTAAAATACTAGCCGCTTCCTACTTAAGCTCATTCTGTAGAGCGTAAGACTTGTAAACCAGAGGTCCCGGTTTTGACTCCTAGCGGAGACTTTGAAAAGAAATAATGACCTCTTTTACAGTAGATATGTATTTTGCTCCGAAGGAACGAACAAAATGTTTATACTAAAATTTTACATGTAAACCTCCATTTCAGTGACAGAGGATGCCAGGAAGGAGATACGACGGAAGGAGACAATCTACCACAAGCGATACTCGAACATCAAGACTACAACGGACGCCAAGAACTTACTGAGAACGATCAGGACAAAAAAACATATCCTCGATCAGCTTGAACTTCTCACATACCGGAAATACGTCAGTATCCAACACGATGTAGAGGCTAAAGACACGCCTGCACTTCCGCCGCTCAATCCATGTCGACAGAACTTTGATTACATTTTCAACACTATAAGAGACAGATATGCTCTGCAGCAGCAGCCAGGTCGCGACCTGTACGCTGATATCGGCATGTCAAGGGATGATTTCCCTTCAATACCGGATTCCCGTCCCTCCGCCACCTACACCCATAACGACACTCTACAACTGCGCATGGGTCCGACACAGGCTACGGCGCACGAGTCCATAGTGTGAATATGGAACTGAACAACGGAACCTTTCGATTTCTTGTTCTTGTCTCAATCACGTTGAAATATTTACAAGAACCTAACTGTCCTTGTCCAGCGATACACTGTTTCTATCAGAGTGATGTAATTACCCTTTACATCTACGACTCTACGTCCGCGCATTAAATGAGTGCTTTCTGATTGGTTAGAAAAACACAAGTGTGTCGTCTTGCTTTTATCACAAACATTCCTTATTTGGTAGAGATGATACAAAGATTTTATAAACTTTGATATTTTTTGCAAATACCGGGAACTTTTCAGTTCGCCATGACAAGGGGATTCCCATACAAAAAATTCCGTATTGCACATGTGCAATACAGAACGTTGTATTTCATGGTCTGAAAATTGCTTGTAATACTATAACAAGTTTCAACAGGTATGTGATAAATCATAAGAGTATATGACTTTCAAAACATACTTTACATGAAAGACATATACATACTTTGACTTAACATTAAACGAACATCTACCAGGGCCACGTTTTCAGACCACGGTAGAGCCTAACATCAATTATACGGGGAAAAATAATTTAAGTTCAACAAATTTGAAATTCAAAACATTTTTGTTGTAAATTTAAAATGATCACCTCGAGAGAGAAAAAATGAATTCGTCATTTTAATTATGTAGACCAGTATGGATGTGAACAAATGAAAAAATGAGTGATTTCCTCGTTAGTTTTTTCAAATATCTGTTCTTTCGTTTGACACCTACCATTTGATTCAGATTCTGTATTAGCCGAGAGCCATACGACTCATAGGCGCAACAATAATACATATAGCATACAAGTATACAAGTCTAAACACACACACACACACACACACACACACACACACATACACACACACACATACACACACACACACACACACACACACCGCACCACCACCCCACACACACACGCACCCCCTCACCCCCACCCTCACACCTCACACACCAACCCCCACACACACACATACACACACACACAAATCTGCTTACATTACATTATAATACAATTGTACATGCAAACATAATAAGTAATACTTAAATACTAAATTACTAAAGACTAAAGACTTTACTTAAATACTAAATACTTGAACACATTAAAGGTTTTCACGTTTCCTCGTAGCATAGTATAGGTATTTCCCAGTGTTACATAATTCTTTGACATTATTTACACTCAAAAGTTTTATGAATTTGAACACACTTGGATTTCTGTAAGTAAAATTCTTTTATATATCTTTCCCTCAACTCTTTATAAAATGAACACTTCATGTGAAATGAAACTCATCCTCTACATCACCGTCAGTACATCTGTTACACAATCTATTTTCTCTACCAATATTTCTACGACGTCCAGTTTCTATATTAAGATTATGCGCAGATAATCTAAACCTCGTAATCATACGTTTATATTTTTCTTCAATAAGCTTACATAAATAAAATTGTATACCAAAATTATCGGTAAGATGTTGGTACAAAAATCCTTTAGATGAGTTTTTAATTCTACTAAGCATATCTTGTTTATTTACGTCTAATAATCTTTTTTGTATTACTTTATATGCAGCAGATACAGGTAAATCATTTCCAAATAAATACCCAAGACCTAGAACCGTCAATTCATCCTTTATATTACCCATCCAAATATCATTTTCACTCACACACTCGTCATAACATGCCTTCAGAATACAATTGTCTGTGCGCTTTAGTTTTAACCAATATTTAATAGCTCTTAATTTTCTAGTAACTAACAATGGTAATTTTCCTAATTCATGGTACACTAAATCATTACTTGTACATGTTCTTACTCCTAAAATTTTCTTACAAAATGCTAAATGGTAACCTTCTCTATATCATATGCATTATGGAATCCCCATATGTCCGATGCATAGCCAAGGATACCACTAAAATATGTATCAAAAACAGAACAAAGCGTTTATAAATTTAAAGAATAGTTTCTTAAAGAGGACATTAGTGAAAATAAAGCCTTTCTACCCTGTTCTGCTAAATGTTTCTGAAATTTTGCGAATTTACAATTATATTTCATCAGAACACCTACATACTTAAACTAATTGTTTGTTATAATATGTCCACTGTTCGCTGTTTTTTTAAATTTCCACCATTTCCAAAATTTTCTAAAAACTTCAATATTGTTTCTTTTCTATATGTGACTACTCACAGTTACCGCCGATAAAATCTCTCGACTTTAAAGTAGCTTAGTACCATTATCATAACAAGCTGAATTATTACAGGTGAAAAATTGTAAACTAATAAAAATCTTAAAAGACATTACAGAGATAAATCACGGCCACATAAAATGCATAAAATGAAATGTTGAACATTAAAAAATATTATCCGCCGTGCCGTAACAGCGACTGACACAGCTGTTCTGCCGTGACCAGGATTCGAACCTGGGTTGTCGCGGCCACAACGCGAAGTACTAACCACTATACGATCACGGCTGTATTGGCGGATATTTCAATAATGTTCTAAATATAGACAGGTATTACAACAGGAAAATCAATTTGAGTGAGTTTCATCAGAGTATTTGCGGCAAGTGTTTACGGAGGATGCCAGGGTTTAGGAGCCCTGGGATCATCCCTCTTTACAATGTATTGTCCTCTCACAGGAGGGATTTCATTCAACATTCGTCTTTCTTTCACTTTCTTTCTTTCATCGTATTTCATAAAGATCAAAACGATTTTGTTATACCGTGTTATAATGTGTAGAAAACTTACATTCCTGTCGTAACAAAATGGTTTTGATCTAATTATGACTTTGTTACGACAGGAATGTAAGTTTTCTACACATTATAACCGTATAAGTCTATGTTATGTTGCAGTACTTCGTAATGTATACATTATAAGGATATACTTCGTCCATATAGTGACATGCAGCCCCCAAATCTTAATTTGACATAGAGTCTGAGATATACTTTATCATCATCTAGACTTTAATATTTCAATCTCAATTCTTTTAATAACTGCCTCGACATAAAAAATAGTCGGGACTTCTAATTGAATATCCATTTGTTAATGTTTCAACTTTTATTTATTTTGACAAAATGTATAAAAATGCGTTTGATAAAAAATCACATGATCGTACACCGTACAATTTTCAAACTCGTTCAACAATTCATTAAAATGCCACTTTCCTAGAGGCTCGTGATAGTATTTTATATTAACCCGAGTGAGACTACGTATGTAGATAACAGGTAGCACGATAATCGTGTTAGCATAACGGAGTTACCTCCCTTATCGTCATTGTAGACGTGGCAATATGGACAAGAATTGGGACATTCGTTCCCAAAGTTTTAGAACATGCTATGTATTTCCTATACTTTTTGTTCGATAGTCTACACATTACTCAATTATAATGAATTGTAATGATATTTCGTTAATTTCCACGAATAGTTAAACAAAGTCTACTAATCTTAAATTTCTAGCAATTTAATATGTGGCTCGTTGGTCTAGGGGTATGATTCTCGCTTTGGGTGCGAGAGGTCCCGGGTTCAAATCCCGGACGAGCCCTATCTTTTTTTTAATTTATACAAATTATATTATATTTATATGAACATTTTGAAGTATTTTGGATAATTAAAGATAATTTTCTCTGACTATATTTTCTAACTGTTTCCCTTGGAAGTTCGTGATACACTATTCAATAAGAACCTGGTTGGGAATGATTGAAATGTTATTTATATAAGATATGTAATATCGATTTAGAAACAGTTATCCTACTGATATTCAGCCTTTTCCCAACAATATTTTGCAATTCATGTGCTAGTGCACAAGATGGCAAATTTATTTGTTTTCAATTATGTAGGTGAACTTTTTCGTGTTCACAATCGTGATAGAATTCGATATTCGCTCGTGCAAAATTTTGTGATTTGACAGTCGATTTATAAAGTATAATAATTATTCATTTATTTTCACCAGAGACGTATAAGGCTCGATTTTTGTGTTTAGCCTAACGAGGTACCTCCCTTATGCCCCAAATCATGTACAAACGTGGCAAAGCGGAGAAGTTCTTCCAGCTCTCGAACAAATTATATACTTCTTGTTTAATAATAACTTTTAGTTCACACATTACCGTAGTAATAACTGTTCTTATGTCATTCAATTGATTTCGATGTAGTAGTTAAATAAAATCTAATCTTATTAACTTACTTTATAACAGTAAGCGGCTTGTTGGTTTCGTTTGGGTGCGAGAGGTCCAGGGTTCGAATCCCGGACAAGCCCGATACATTTTTGGATACTGATTTATATGCTGTAAGACCGCAGCATTAGGTCATTGTTTATACTAATTACAGCGAGGGCTACTTTGTACTTAATCAGAATTTTGAGATATATTTAGTAATTTGAACTCGTTGTAATGTTTCTCACAAAAATTATCAGAATTGCTGTTACCTTTAATACAGAAATGCGTTTCTAACCATCCTATATGAGTTTAACGGGTGCATTATTCATGTTTAAGGTCAAGACCCTATTTCATCTTACTATGATATTTCTTTTTGTTCAAGATACATTTCAAACAAACTGTCATGTTTTTTTTTTATAGAAGTCGGGAACAATTTGTCTACCCGGACAGTAAGCATGCCGCTCATTTTCTTGGACGATGAAATATAAATAATTTGGAACAGTGATCCGGGTCTTGTAAATGCTCGTATCCTGGAAATATATGAACGGTGGCGTGTAGAGTCTCCGGTAGAGTTTCGGTAGAGTTTCGAGATATCGGGCATAATAAACCTGACCAGAACGGAAGTCAATTTTTAACGTATTAGCGAGTTAAGTGTTCCTCAAACAGAGAAGAGGATTGTGGTATATCGATTGCGTCATTTCCTGTTTTAGTGTGCGTAATGTCTTTACCAAATACGCGGAGAAACGACAGAGGAATCAATATTTTCAGTCACATACCACAAACAATTTTATCGAACGTATCCTACATGAGAAAAGACACCTGGCTGTACAGGTAAAATACTGGATAGACTTTGGCATACACATATAATGATTTCAAAACAGTAAGCGGAAAAATATCAAAGCGAAATATTGACGTCCGAGACCAAGTAAGTTTTATTACATAATCCAATATTTGATGTAGTGTATTCTATTGCTTTTTTTAAAGTTATTCAATTCTGAAAGTCGTCTTAATTTTTAAACTATATTCTCCCGAATTTTGTATGCAAAGTGGTACGGTAGGTTCTTAAGGTTTCGTGTAACTCTATTAAAATCCAAAAGTCAATAACGTTATAGATACTAAGATATTTGGGGTTTTTTTTATCAAAAGTCATCAATACAACGTA